ATTGTTGCACTTCTGAGCATAACTTTCAAATTTAAAAAATCTATGAAAAGAAAATATGAGACAAATTTTTTTTTAGATTAATAGACTCTATTTTTAAAGCTGAATTGAATGGTGATGGATTTTTTAAAATCCAATGTGTGGATCACATAATATTTCAAAAATTTTTAACTTGAGTATAGATGATCCGCACTGTATAGACATATATAAAATAGCCCAACTTTGAAGCCCTATAACTCAAAAGTAAACTGATGGAAATGAAGTTTAGGTCTTTAGCTTTAATTCTATCAGTTTACTTTTTTCTTTTTCTTTTTCTTTTTAATAAGGAGTTATAAGCTTTTGACCGTTGTAGATGTCCTGCACTATACTCAATTTAACAGATGTAGTGATATTTAGAAATTATTTGCTAAATTTGTACTAGTTAAATATCAGTTAAGATTCACTGTATGTTGTGCATCTCTTTTTTTGCTGGCAGATCGGGATATCGTCTTTTTTTAAAAACCAAGGAAAAAAAATGGCAACTACTGACGTTTCAACTTATTATTTTGCAAGTATTTTATAAATATTGATATTATGGCTAAATATTTACATAATGGTTTTGTTAATTAATTAATAATTAAAAGTCTTTTTAATGGACAGAATCATACAATGATAAGAGTTAAAGACCCAGAAATTTCAATTAAATTTTATGAAAATACTTTAGGAATGAAGTAATAATCAAAATTAATTGATTAATTATTATTTAAATATGATTTTTATTTAACATTACAAATATTTTTTAAAAAAAATAAGATTAATTAAAAAAATAGATTTCCCAAATGGTAAATTCAGTCTTTACTTCCTTGCATATATTCCAAAAGATCAAGTTTTACCTAAATCAGATGATGAGCTAAGTGCTTATGTATTTTCTAGAGAGGGTGTATTGGAATTTACTCAGTAAGTAATTATGGTTGTTAATTATTTGCAACAGCTTTAAATTATAAATAAAATATTCAATTAGACCCAATATATAAAGTAATTGGGGAACAGAAAATAATCCAAATCAAAGTTACCATAATGGCAATACTGAACCAAGGGGATTTGGCCATATTGCAATATGTGTTGATAACATTGAAGCAGCTTGTAAAAGATTTGAAGAACTTGGTGTAAAATTCATCAAAAAATTAACTGATGGTAATATTTTAATAAATGTTATTTTCTTTAAAATTAATTTATTATTTTGGCTAATAACTAAAGCAATGTCTACTACTACTGCCATTTCATAGGTACAATGAAAAATATTGCTTTTATTAATGATCCAGATGGTTATTGGATTGAAATTATCCCATCTAATAAGGATGTTACTAAATAAAGAAAACAAATTTTTTAAGTTGGTGAAATATATATTTTTTCCCTAATACTAATAAATAAATTGTTTATAAAAATATTTGGTGCCTTTTTTACACACACCATGTAAAATTATTTATTATCAGATTCAAAAATTGACATTAATATAATTATTAATGTTCCGTCAATCAATGATAGATATTATAATATGTAGATCCGGGATATTAGTTAGTTATCCCCTGGTAAAAGTCAGAAAATAATGGTATTAAAAATGTAAAACAATCAACAACGAAAAAAATTGAAAAAAATTTTCTTGATTTATTTATTAAATTTATCTTAAGGAGTTTCCTTGGTTGGCTGTGACCCATTAAGCCATTATGGAACAAGAACTCACAACTGGTGTTTGTTACCTTAAAAGCCACTAGTAAATCACTGTGTCCAAGTCAATGGGATAGCTTTTTAAAAAGACTAGCTCTTAGGTCATGAGTTACACAGTTGATTAACACCTTTTGATTTAAATCATATTCCTCCTTACCAGATGGCATATGAAAGAACTTCATAGAAGATATAACTTCATCTTCTAAAAAAACCATCACCTGAGAAAGCTCTTAGAACCAGACTTCTTTACCTTAATTCAGGGGAGAAACAAACCATATTAAAATGGATTTGTAGGCATATAACAAATGTTATTGATATAAAAATAAAAAAAAACTCCAATATTTATGTCAATAAAGAAAAATTAAAGACCTGATTTCAAATGGGTTCTTGACGTTCCTTATAATATTAGAGAAGCAGCAATCTTTGACCTATTCAAATATTGCAGCAAAATTAAAAGATTAAAAAAGGCAATTAGCAGATTGAGGAAGAAAAAATGGTCATTATTCATTCCTCAAAGGTATTAATTAAATCAAGCAAAGAAATAAAATATGATCATTAATCATATTGGCAAATTCTACTTATGTGTCTCTAAACCATTTGAAATTAAGGCTGATAGCCAAGGTCCTAAATTTTCGGTAATAGAGGTGCTGGCATTATTTTCACTTGATCCAGGAGAACTTTCATGATTGGATATAACCAAATGGTGAGGTTATAGAAAGGGAAAACGGGACATAAGTAGATTATGTCGCTTATGCCTGCATCATAACAGAATTCAAAGTGAAAGGGACTCAATTCATGGTAAAACAAATAAATATAAAAGATATATACAGGCCTGCTGATATATATCTCGGATCCATAAGATCTTGTGAATGAAGTCATCGAAAATTTGCAAAATGGTAAAACCACTATGTTGTTTTGCTCCCTAAATTTAAGATACGACAGTTTAATAAAGGTAAAGTAAGCGTGGAAAAGATTAGGTAAGATATCCAAATACGTGAATGAAGTTTTTCATACCATGAGTGAAATCCTTCACAATCAGAGAATCAAAAAATACTTTACCATTCTTAAATATACAACGTTTAAATTTCTAACGTTTACTTCTCCATTCAGTACAATAACAGCTGCTTATGTTTGATCTGGAACACCATTTCGACAGCCAGTAATATTAAAACATCATTAAATCCCGCATCATTCCATTGGATAATGATCGAAAAATCTAATATAAAACTCAGAGGCAAATGTTGAACTGATTTTCGCAAATCCTGTGAGTATCCTTTGTGCAAGATGGTAATCTGAGCTGAGGTGTGCGAATGTTGTGGGCGCATCAACAAAATCTTGGACCTTTAGATGTACATCTTGCAAATCAACCATTGAAGTAGTAGAGCCTTTTGTGATACAAAGATATATTATAGAAGTTGGCAGGGGTATTAAAGACTAGTGTTACAGTGGCACACACGCCAAATAATTGGGGCAAGTAATAAATTTATTGGTATTTTTTTTTTTCTAAAAAAATTTTTTTTACAATTTTTTTCTTAAAAAAAAAACTAATTTGAATTTTGTCAAAAAAAAAAAATAAAAAAATAAAATAACATTAACATTAAAAATAAATAATTTAATAATAATAAAATAACAACAACAATAATTAAAATATGCTTTCATATAAGGTTAGAATTTCATAGATTACTTTTTAAATTATGCAACAAATTCATACTAAATCTTTTTGATCTCTGCTAATAGGAAAATTGTCGTCCAGTCTATGGAACTTTATCCAGAGAAACAATCGATAATGTTGTCGCTCATTCTATAATATACCAAACAAAAAAGGTATATTTTTTCAAACATTCATTCTTTCATAATTTAAATATATACGACTTATATATAAATTAAAATTTTATTCATGTTAGCTCCCGTGGAGTATAGGAAATCCATCACTTGTAAGAGGTAAAGAATATAATTATAATCATTGCTATTTTTATTTCTCCCTTTTTTTCTTGTTAAAATAGTTCGAGTATTTTTAAGAATTTATTCTATAATTTTCTATAATAATAATTAATAACAATAATAATTAGGTGATTACAAATCAAGAAAATCAAAACATCAGAGCAAAATAATAAATTCACACATCAAATCAGAAAAATCGTCAATATCAAAAACATCATCATCATTACATTCAAACATTGAAATACCCATAAATCATTCACCAACCCCAGAAAATACACTAACAACAAATTCGACTTCAACAAGCATATCGTCATCAAGTCGTTCGACATCTCCAGACAAACAACTGTCAAGCCGTTCAACATCCCCAGATAAACATTTAATAGATAATAGTCTATTAATATCTCATTCAAGCCAATCACCATCATCATCATCATCATCATCATCATCATTATCATCATCATCATCATCATCATCATCATCATTAGATCCAAGTCCCTCAACAAATTCTTCAAATTCTGGACAAGATGATTCATCATCATCATCATCACCACCATTACCAATATATATTATAGGAATAATTTCTGGAGCAGCATTTATAGTAGTTTTGTTAATTATTGGTTTAATCATTTATGTATGTAAAAGGAAAGAAAAAAGGCATAACTCATATTTCACAACACCTTATGGATTAAATCAGCCTTATTCACCACCATTAACTGGTAATCTACTGTTTAATCAATCACCCAATTATTTAACATCAAACAAAAACACACCAGACCGTTCAACATCATCATTGCCAGTCCCACCACCACCTTTATTACCACCATCTACATTAAAAAATAAAAATAGTTCTGATAGTAGTAAACTCACTATTGTTGATCCGAATGATGTTCATCGAAATCCTCCTCGAAAACAATTTAGTATTGACGACTATCTTGGCAATCCTTATCAACTACCATCTTTAACACTACCATCTTTAACACTACCATCTACATTAAAAAATAAAAATAGTTTTGATAGTAATAAACTCACTATTGATGATCCAAATGATGCTTCTAGAAGTGTTGATGATTATCTTGATAATCCTTATCAGCCACGCTCACAATCTCCAATATTTTCTTACCCATCATCTACTTTAAACTATGAAGAAAATGACAATGACAATGATGATAATAACAGCAATGATAATATAACATCATCAAATAATGATGGATCAGATTCATCATATTTACAATTAATGCAAGCTAATGATGATAGATTTAAAGCATCATCTATTGCAACCTCTAGTATATATACGCCTTCACGTTCCAGCAGTACTGGAAGTTCACATATTGGCAGCACACGACCAAAAATTGATACTCAATTGAACTCAATTACTGAATCAGGTGATGTAACTCCTACAAAATTTACAACTACAACCTCTCCAAGTTCTGATATAATCGCTGCTATTAATGCTGCTGCAAAAAGTGATTCACGCAGTAGTGAAGAGGGAAGTTTCCAAAGTCCATTATTTAAAAATGAAATTTTAAGTTTACGAACTGCAACAAGATTATCTAAAATGAACCCAAATGATCATGTTGACCATGATGTTGATGAATTATTATCTAAGCTTGAAAAAGAAGACCATTAATTATCTTCGCAAAATACCAAGTAAAATGAAGCTCCTACATTTTTGTTTAAATTAAAAAGAAAATTTGATATAACTTCCACGGAGAATACAGTTCACCCTAACGAACACCAAATAAAATCTCTTTATAACAAACTTCACTTTGTCCCCGATTCATTTTTTTATAATTAATTTCTCTCTATATAACGAACAAAAGCAAGAAAATTACATATAGGGACGGAAGTAGAACAGATAGTATATGTAGAGTAGATGGTTATCTTGTTATTGACTTCTATTACTATCCCTCAACTCATCTAGTTGTTTTCAAAAAACTCTATTTTTAAATTAGAATGTTTTTTGATGCTCCAAATTTACATACGAATAAAACCAACACCACTTACCTTGTGAAAGAATTAAAAACAAGTAGCTTTCTTTGGTGTTTAATAATATGGTTATTATTTCTATTTATTTTTTTAAAAAAAAATATATCCACATAAATAACCAGTTATTTTTATGATTAATGAAAAAAATAGGTGTCTGGTATATATATTAATTTATTATTCAATTAATAGAAATTGTATGATTGAAAAAACCTTTTTCTAACTTTGTAACTTTTTTATTTATTTTTAAAAAAAAAAAGAAAAAGAAGATTGAGCGAGCAATTACAAATTTACAATGTATATTAAAAAAAATTTCCAAATTGGTCATCTAAAAACCTTTTAGAATATATAAATTACATTTAGTAATCCTATTTTATTTATATATTTATTATTTAAATATTCGGCGGTGGTTTTAAAATTCGTATGGCATCTTTAGAGAAAACATAACTTAATCCAGACCATATTGTAGTGACACCTACAATATATCTAATTAATCGATATAATAATAATAATAATATAATGAATACTTATAACGATTATAATTTTATAATTAAATTAAATCTATTTTCTTACTGTAATGTGACAAGAGCCTGTGAATCGACCCAGCCAAATATTGGACCTGATATAGTTGTTCCCATGAGTACTAATTGTAAAGTTGTGTTTACCTAATAATTAAAAATAAATTTTCTCTTGAGAAATTTGTTAACTATTATTATTATCATCACCACCACCATCATCATCATTAGATTGTTTTAATTATTATTATTATTACTTTGCTAATTAAAGTTGGTCTCACTTCTGCTGATGGAATTGACATATCAAAAAATCTAGTTAAAGTTTTCTTACCAAAAAAAAAGATATATATAATAGGATTAGATTGAGATTAAAATATTAAGATATTAGAAATATATATGTGTATTACTGGATGTGGTAACGAAATATATCGATAATAAAATGATGCAATAATTAATCCAACATCACGTCCAAGTATTATAATTGCAATTGGAGCTATTATTTAAAATACAATATTAAATAAAATACTAAATTAAAAAAATCAATAAATTTAAGCCATCAACAATAATAATATCATTATTTGTTATTATTACCTGGTAATAAATTTTTCATTGCCAAAGTGACCGTCAACACAGTCATTAAAGTTTTATCTGCCAATGGATCCATAACTGTTCCGACCATAGTTTTCATGTTATACTTCCTAGCAATAAATCCATCCAACTATTATCATCATCATCATATAAAAAATAAAAATCTAATTAAATAATATGTGTTTGAATCAATTAATCAGTCAATCAATCAGTCAACTATATACCAGGTCACTAATACCAGCATAGAAAAATAATCCTAACGCCAATTCATATTGTTGATTCAAAATAAAATATCCAATAATTGGTGAAGCCGCTAGTCTAGACAATGTGAATACATTAGGAACATTCCATATATTTTCTCTTTTTGGTATTTCTTTAATCTAAATAATAGATTAAAAGAAATTTCTTATCAGAATAATAATAAATCAAAAACGTTGGCTAAATTATTTATTACCTTTTGAATTATCTTGCCAGAATTTAAGTTATTGTCTAGTTTTGACTTGTTTTCGGAATATCGTTGAAGTGATGATGTTTGAAAAAATTGTTGATAGCCTGTTGGTGATTGTGAAAGTATTCTATCATCTAAGAAATTAATAAGGTAATATGGAATAGAACACGAAATGGTATAGAGCAATAATCAAATATATATTTCCTTACATTATTTTATGTGTTGCCTTGATATATGAGGCGTTGTACTTTATTTGTTTGAAACTTCTTTCATGAAATTTGAAGAATGTAAATATAGTGGTATTATTTTTATCATTAATTACATACAAGGGAAAATGAAAATTACCTTAAGGTTCTTGTTAGTTTCTCTGTAGAATTTATTTTTAATAAACTAAATGTACATTTTAAAAAATTATTACTATATTTTGGAAGACGAATGGCACAATTACTAAATAAAAAAATTGACATCCTAATAAAACTATCTGTTTTTGAAAATGAGAAACATGATGATGCCAATGGTGATGCCAATATTTGTTACACGATTGAATTATCACCTTTTGGATCAGAAGTTAACAACTAGTAGTTATATTCAACAATAAAAAATCTCCTAATTTAACTTTTACTTAAACAATCAATCACCAATGTTGAATTTGTTAAAAAACTGATATTGAAATGCACTTCAAAGTCACATACCTATTCTTTCAAAAATATTAATACTATTTATTGATGATCCTTTGATGGTCCTAGTGGTCATGGACCGCAGGCAATAAATTTAAATATCGAGGTTTGGGCCTGACTGTATTTGCCTTATTCTAGTTATAAGCATATTATATTTTTACTTTTAAAAATCCAGTTTGATTTGAATCAACCTGATTTGATTCGTTCAAAGCCTTAGTGAAATTCTAATTGAAAAAATATATAATACTTCTTTAAACTAATAATTCTTTCACTGATTTAATGAGCCATGAAATTATTAGTTATAATAAATCATGTGATGTAATTTTAACCTTTTGATCAAAGTGAAAATGGCCAAAATCAATTCTGACCATTTTGACTTCCTGTATATTCATAAACTTTCAAGGAATTGATTCATAAAACTATTAAAGCTTTCTATACCAAATCATCAGACTATCTTTTCCTATTGTAAACATATCTATAAAATAATCTTATGTTAAAAAGAACCTCTGAACCTCTGAACCTCGAATACATTCAAATAATACATCATCAGATTTTTTTTATTCAATTGTTTGATAAAACAGTGTTCCATGTCGCAATCCAAAAAAGGAAACAAAATGGTCGTAAAGGCGGTTGCAATCATTTTTATATGACACAAAGATGGTAGCAACCATCATCAAAAGTTGCAGCCGGTATCCTTAATAAAGCAGCATTAAAATATGAGAAACCTTTGCTTTCAAAATAGCAAGATGAGCTATTAAAAGTTTTAACACCCTCCCTCATCTACTCTAATTTGTTAAATTATTTACAAGTACAGTCAACAGCGGATGAATGTGACACATAAGAAAATGTTATTCAAAACCCATTATGGCAAGATTACTAATTATAATCTTGCCACAACGGATTTTTATGTTTTTATATGTTATATGTGAAGCAAAAATTTTAATCTGTTATGGCAAGGTCTACTGTATCATTTTTCGTGTTAATTGGGTTGTTTAATAACAAGTTTGAATTTCTAATGATGAAAAACAAATTGATGTATTAATACAGGTCTGCACAGTAATAAAATTTAATATTTTTGTTTAAAATGACAGGTTGAAATAATAATATAAATATATAATATCTAAATTAATTAATTTGATTTGATTTTACTATCTTATAGACTTCACATTCTTCTATCAAATGAGTACTTGTACTTTTATTTTTAAGATTTAAATTGTTTTTATAAAAACTAGTGACACCAAAACAATAATAACGACAATAAAGTTCATTATCAAAACTATTACATAATTGTAAATCCCTAAAATTTATAGTCTTTTCTTGAAACATTATATTATCATCAATTTTTTGTTTATTATGATATATTGCTTTACTGGGAATTCTGACTTTACTTAATATTGAATTATTTATCTGATTTTCATCAATTTTGAAAATAAAACTTTTATCTGTTTCAATCCAATACTTGTCATTT